CCCACAAATGTTGTGGTACTGCTTGCTTTGACTAGGTTTAACGTTGAACCACAACGTTTGTGGGTTGGCATGGTAAGTTGGGCATGGTAAGTTGGGCATGGTAAGTCATAGACTTGGTTTTAGAGATAGAAACAGGATAGATGGCGCATCGGATGGGAGCTAGTGGGCTGACAGTAGTTTTTATAAGAGACGTGGTCCATGTGGCAAAGGCGTGACCATGACGCTTACTCAGAGGCTTTAGCCACGAATTAGTCACCCAGACGCGACTATTAGGGATGTGTTTAAACCACATCCATCTTGATAGATCCATGCACACTTGTTTTATTGAAACTATTCACACAAAATGTAAACTTTTAAGATTGCTTTGACGACTACATTAAGGTTTCAACATTAACTTTTGGTGCTCAGGATCTCATATCGAATCCCGTTTTGATGTAAATAAAAGCGAGACTGGGTTGTGTCGGCAGCCCAGTTTGATTGAAAATAACGTTGGCGGACCAGGTAAAGGAAAATTTACTGGCATCATGAGACATACACTTATTTTATCTTAGGAGACCCAACAATCATTCCTTCATTATTTTTAAGGGATCTAAGATGCTTGTTTATCAAATAGTCACATTCCACCACCTTCCCTTTTATCTTACTTAGATGTGGACGCATTCGACTCCTGCCTTTCAACTCGACCTGGTTTACTGGCTGAATCTGGAGGTGTTCAGCAGCTTAGCGATGTTCATTCTGCATCTGAGTCCGGACTAGCCTTCGCAACTGGCTCTTCGGCCGCAGCTGGTCGACAACCCTGGATACCTAGATACACTCTACGTGGACATTTTGATGCCATTCGGGCTATTTCATTTCATCCTACGGAACCTGCCGTATTTTCGGCTTCGGAGGATGGGTGTATTATGCTCTGGAGCCTCAACAAGGCTGGTGTTGTAAGTCTATGTTCTCTGATTAAATCGTAAATTATTGCTTCTGTTAAATTGGCTCTTATCCAGGCCTGTGATTGTCTAATTCCAGGCACCAAGGGGGTGAATTTTCAGGATGATTGATTTGATTTGTCACATGCCCTTTCACTCATTTTTTATAATGTTGATACTCTCTTTTAAGCCACCCTACATCGTGTTCGATTATGACTAGTTTTTTAAAGCAAGAATCTTTGCTGTATAACCGTGCCAGGAACCTATACAATATTACATTTATTTATTATCAAAAACCCCTTTATTATTTTTGAATATAATACTTTGAGTGATTATATACAAACAAGACTCGTTTAGGTAAGGTGGGTTCACATCTGCATATTCTGCGCTTGAATTTGTTGATCCTAACTTAATCATAGGCTTCCGTTTTGTTTTTTTTAAACTGGTCTGATCGTGTATTTTTTAAAATTGTGAAAACTACTTGTGAACATTAAAAATTTAGTCTGTTTTTGTTTTTTACGGAAACTACAATATTTGTAGTTTCCGTAAAAGAATAATTTTATTATTAATCTTTTCATATACATTATCCTCTAAACCAGTGATTCCCAAACCGTGCGCCGCGGCCTCCACATGGGGCCGCGAAATATTGTAAAAGCTTCAATTTGAGAAAATGTGTAGTGATTTGCAGGCTCATCCATCACATTAATTATTAAATATTAGTTTAATGTTAATAAAGTAAAAAAAATAATGAAGATACACGAGTTTTATTTTTTTATCTCTTACGAATAGTCATACTTAGGGCAGGGCACCATGGAAAAATTTTAATTCAAAAAGGGCGCCGCGACTAGGAAACGTTTGGGAACCACTGCTCTAAACTGTATCTGGCGAAACCTGCATATCCGAAACAACTTCCATTTGGCTCATTAGAGCTTCATATTAATAGACATCCTTTCACTGCAGCAAGGTGTTATTCACTCACGTATGAACCTTGGTAATAACCTGTTTGTTTACTTTGCTAGCCTATCACTTAGAATCGAATATAAATACGATGCCATTTTCCAAGCTCGCATCTTTCATACTCATGTTCTTTTATCCTAATTTCCTTTTGTTTTAATTTTTAATGACGTTATATTTTTACTTTCTCTTTGCTATTATGACTGCTATATAATTTTTCATCATGCGTCCTTTCGCAGCTCAGCCCTAACTTGTTGCAATACTCAGAATCCTTATTAATTTTCACTTTGCTATTTCTATTCACTTCATTTCATAGCCATACTGTCCGACTTTTGGTTTTATTCTCTGCAGAATGGCAGTGGTCAAGGAAAATTGGCCCATCGTGGCGTTACTGGACCCGGTCCAAGCTCCGAGATCGATCCTGCTTACGTGTACCGTGGTCACCGAGGTCCTGTCCTATCTTTAGCTACGCCCTCTGTCGTCTCTATGCAAGCGATCACTTCTGGAGGTTTGCTTGACTCCACTAACGATCCGCTTTCCCTTTCTGCCACACCTGCTCAGGCTACCGGGAACAAGAGTACTATAGATACTAGCCCATCGCCTGGAGACGGTCTTCATCTCGACGACGCTATGCACCAGCCTGGCAGCCTAGGCTCAGGCATCCCTGTCATTTATTCAGGTGGACTCGATGGCACCATTCGATCCTGGTATCTGTCCCCCAGTGTCACTGGATATTCCGGTTGTACGAACACTTCAGCCTCTATTGCTGCTGCTGGAGTCGGGGCTTCGAGTGTCCTGGCTAATGGTAGTGCAGCTAGCGGTTCAGCTGTTGTTGCCACCGCCACAGGTTCAAGTGGCGAGTCGGGGACTGGCATTGACCTTTATGCTAGATATCGAAAGGCAGCTGATTCGGGTCCTGTTCTTCGAAGTAAGACTTATTTGTTTTTGGCCTTTATTTAATTCTCGCTTTAATTTTGAGCTGGATTATTATCAACATTGTAAGATTAGTCATTGACATAAAAACCAAGGTGGTGTGGCCTTCTGTTTGGTCACAGTCTCTTTAGCTCCGTAGTATTGTTTCGACCTCGTTTTCCTAACTTCGTCGGAGCTCCAGGGAGACCTTGTGCAACGCACCTAGTTCTGTCATCTGTCATAATATTCCTGATTTCCAGTATCGGGCCACTGACCTAGTACATTCCTAAACGTTTCGCCACCATCATTAGTGAGGAAGGCCATCATCAGCATAAAGTAACAACTTAGTAAGGTGACAAATGAAGGCAATCCTTTTGATCTATTTTCTGTTCAACCTTCGTGGCATCACTTGCCTCTATTTTTGTTCTACCTTCTAGTAGTGCATTTCATTCTTTCAACCCTATTTCATATGGCCCATTTACGTATTCATACATGCGCTCATTTTTACCAGCGTCGCCTAAAATTGTGTCACTATAGGTGCATTTTGTGAAGCGTAATCATTTCCACTTTCTGTACCGGGTGCCACTTGCAGAGCTCCTGAACTTCGTTCAGCCCGCGTATACTCCGCTTGTCAATTACTCGCTACTACACATCAAAATCACCGTTTGGCTGTCTTAAATCTGGCTGCCGAAGAGCCTTCAATTCCCGTCTCCGATTGCGCCATATTCGAGGAATTAGATTGGATGCTGCTCATGTTAATGCCCACTTCAATGCCTTAAAATCTTCCTTTCCCTAGGCTTCAAACTCATGATTCAGTTATCCTCTTTCTCACCCCCAACCACATTGTCTCCCATTCTTTGGGGCCGGAGCCCTCAGTCCAGCTCAAATTATAACCACTGGTGTGAGAATGCATCACCTTTCTTTCCCCTGAGTTGCTCCTTGGCGAGACTCTTCCTATTGTTGAACAATGTCCAGGCTCTAAGGGTTATTTT